TATTTGCTTTGTTGTGGTAGAAGTTCAAGTTCATCTTGCTTATTTCCCATGCTCTGTGTTTTGTTTTGTTTTTGCTAATTTTTCCCTCCAGGAAAATGGTTAGATTCATTTCTCTGCTGCTTAAAGTTGAATTTAAAAATTAAACCTACATGATTTTTTTAGACAACTCATGGGGTCTCTCAAACTGAGACTTTCATATTAAACTACACTTCTAGCTCTTATGAATGAGAAATAAATGTTTTAATACATTACAATACCACATAGAACAGTGATCAAACTAAGTCCCTTATTTATTATTTCAGTTGATACTATTTTATTTGTCAGGCTTTGGATAGCTTTCACTTTTCATTTATGGTGCAGCAATAATTCCTAAAACTGTTTCCTGAAATGGTGATTGTACTATAATCTTTTACTTTCCTGGGATACAAACTAAAAGGGCTAATATAGAAGCAGACTTAGAGGCAATTAGAGCATGTAATTACATCCATCGATATAATAATTTGATAGGGAGTCTGATATAGGAAGATGTAGTGAATATGAATAATAACTATAACAAAGTAACTATAACAGTATGATTTGAGTTGAAATTCCTCTGGGTTCTTCTTATACACAACACAGGAGAGTGCATGCTATGTGATTGGCATAAGGTATAGTTTGACTGTAAGAAACTCTAAAATTAAGAATAAACCACTGAGCATGTGCAGTTCAGTGGTGATTCTCTTTTCAGATTAAAAGGACATACTCAATATTCCTGCTCTTTGGGAGTTGTAGTCTAGAATATCTGGTGGGCACCATGTTGCCTATCAGTGGTTTAGAACTTCCATGCTTTGCCTTATTGCTATATTTCAAAAAAACTTTCTGACAAAATGCAAATACAGTAATTACCAATATTACCTGGAATATTTCTGTGTTCTTGATGTTCAAAAAATGGACTGCGACTATAAGTGTTCCCAAGAAAACAGAAGAAAGCACTTGGAGGTAAAGAAAAGAGAATGAAAGTTAAGAAACTTAAGAAATTTAAGACATAGTCATAAGTAATAGGCATTTTAGGGGTTACTGCAGGATATATTTCCAGGCAAATATATTAAAGAACTTCTATTTTTATCTATTATGAGAACTCCAGCAATCAAAATTCTCAGTTGTACAGTGCCATGTAATTATCCTATAATATCTGACCTTCATGTTATTCAGGTTTTTGAGGTACCAGAACCATACAATATACTGTATATACTCATGCAAATATCCATCGGTGAACCCTTTATTGGCCAACCAAAATGCACAATATATTTGTTGCAAGCTTTCGAAGCTCCATGGGCTTCTTCATCAGGCAAGATGTTACAAACCAAACAGGAGAAAAACAATTGGAGATGTTAGTCAGATGCCTACATGTTGTTTCAGTCTTTAGTTAAGATGGTATATGGTGGGGAGGACAGGCAGGCTCTTCCTCTTTCTGGCCACGTGGCTATAGGGAGATTCCAAAGTCCAGGAAAACAAACTCACACCCTTTCCTTGCAAATTGAGTGGGACCAAGCACCAATATGCATGCGCGCACACGGACACGCATATGTATTTCTGTTCCTTGCAAATCCAGTGTGACCAAACAGCAACACACACACACACAGCACCCCCTTTCTTTGCAAATCCAGTGGAACCAAACAGCAACACACACATACACACACACTGCACCCCCTTTCTTTGCAAATCCAGTGGAACTTTTGTATCTCTCTTGCAAAAGCAACAAACATAAAAACACACAAAACTGCACCCCCTTTCCTTGCAAATCTAGTGCAACACACACACACACACACACACACACACACACACACACTTTCCCTGCAAATCCAGCAGGACTTCTGAATCTCTCTAGCAAACAGCAACAAACATGGGATTGCAAAAATCAATATCCTGTTCAAA